AACAAATATCGCATCATGCAAACACACTTCTTCCAATCAGACTCTGTAGGTTCTTGAACTCTCAAGGCAAGAATAGTAATTGTTGGATGGATATCCAAACGAGCTCTCTTAGAGACATAAAGTCCCCATGCAACAGTAGTATGAAAGATTTGACAGTACTCAGCATTGAGTAACTTTCCTTTCCCAGCCTCCAGTAAATCGTTACCAGCTGGTGTTTCCTGCTTTGAATCCTTGTTGAAGTTGACGGGAAAATCTTCCAACATGTTTTTGACATAGTCGTCCATGCTGATTTTGAGTTTTCCTTTCACCCAGAAATCCAAAGCCATTCCAAGATATCTGTGTATCTTTCCTCTGACAATTGTACATGCCTGGATCGAACCATATCTCATGTTCAACCACTCAGCAAATTTGTCATTTACTTTCGGATCCATGTGACTTGACATAAGATCGTCAACATGAAATCTGATAGTTTGCTGTTTGTCATCAACAACTTTGTTAGCAACACACGGGTCATACGGATTGAAAACAAATCCCTTTGCCTCCAAATCACTTTGAAACTGATTATAGATTATAGAATAGGAGGCTCGATTGCAACATCCCATATATAGCAGATAGTACCCGCATATAGATTACTCGCTTTCCGTTCTCTAATACAATGTATTTGCGATACTCTGGGGCCATGTCAATCAATATCTTGACCATCATGCCAGTGATTTTCATGTAGACACGATCTTCTCCTTCCTTAGCTTCAGGCATATAAGTTTGAATGAAAGCGTTAGGCATGTCCATATTATATCTCTACCTTCATGTGCATCAATAACACAAGTAGTGGTGATTGCTTCCTGCAAAGCAGTTGGACTTGCAGTGTCCTCTCGCGATAACCATTCACAAGTTCCATCGCCTTGGAATACTAGGCGACCTTTAATTGTCTTTTCAAATTGCTTCTCTGCGAGTAACATCATCGCTGATTGTGCCTTCTTTCGCTCAGACGTGGTCATGTCTTTAACAAATCGGGAGTAAAGCAATCTTTCAGGAGCATTTGTCTCAATTCCTTATCCACAGCATCCTTTCCATCATCACCAACTTCTTCAGTCCTTGGTTGATGTAATACTGTTGAATGAAGTTCAGACCTTCATCAGTATCAAACTTGGCCTTGATCTGCATCATGCAACAAGCGATCAGAATAGCAACGTCCTCTTCATAATCAGCTTTCATCTCTGGAAACATAAATTGTGCTGTGCTTCAAGGATAGCTTTACTGTCTTTAGTACTGCAACTTCCTTCTTTGGTACGAATGCCAGATTTTAACTTGTTCTTCAACAGTTTCAATTCTCTCTCTTGATGCTTGCGTCTTGTCGCAACTCGATTCTTGTTCTTATTGGCAGAACTGCCACTCATGCTTGAAGGCCATTCTCTTGGTCTCTTGGGAACTTGGGAAAGGTTCAGCCCAGACATTGCAGCTTGCGCATACGTTTGCCCAGATCGAGTGACTTTTGCCACTTGAGGCTCTTCAGGCTCAAATACAATCTCTTCTTCTGGCGGCTCTTGTAGGTCCTCAAGGTCAGTAAGGAGGCTCCCAATTTCATCGGTTCCTCTATCGACATTTTCTTGATGGTGATCTAAATTGGCCACAATAGGTTCTTCCTCTTCATCGCCTTCATCACCCGAATTGGCGTCTGATTCATAGTCATCATCTCCTTGGAATCTGACAGTGAGTTCTGGCATATCATTGACATCATTGTCTACATGTGCCAAGAGCTCTTCTCTTTCGGAGTCATCAATATCATCGAATTGTCCACGTAGATTGAAATCACATTCATCTTCATCTTCAGGTTCATAGTCCTGATCAAAGGCTTCTTCTAAGTAACCTTGTTCCATGTCATCCACTCCTGCAATTTGATCGCCATCTTGAAATGTCTCCAAATCTCTTTTCTTTTCAAAAAGAACTTCATGGAAGTAACACCTTTGGCAGCAGCCCAAGCTTCAACACACTGGATTACTTGGTCGGTAACGGGTAGTACAACAACCTTGGGTCGGAAATCATCTTCTTAGTATTGAGGTTGAGCACTTGGTGCCCAGTGCATTCTTCTTTTGTAGGTTCAATGTAAATTGCTTCAATACTTCGGAGTTCCATCAAATTGTTGGAATCCGTCCCAATTGCATGAACATATTGTCCAAGTTCAGCAACCATGTCACTCTTGTAGTTGATATTGACATTATCAATGAGTTGCTGCGGACTGAAATGTGATGAGATACTGTCTTTCTGGGGAAAGACATTCAATAGCTCGCCGGCTCGACGTCCAAGACATTCAGTGATCACTTTTGGGACCACTTTGTAGGGTAATCATGCAAGAGCTACTCTGACTCTTTCTTTCAGCGTTCTATTGTTTCGCTCAGCGGTGGGCTCGTGGTCTCCAGCTGCAGTTGGGTCAATAGTAACACCCATATCGTCTAGCATATCATCCGTGAGAGGAATGAACGCCCAATCACACTTGATGATCTTGACTTGAAAGCCTGCCTTGTTGTAGCGGCAGAATTTCTTATCCAATGCTTCAAATACAGGGTCAGTCTTCAGGTTCTGCACGGGAATACATGAGCGATAACGCACAGTGGTATCAATGCAGGTGAGAAACTTAGCATTCTCGATCTCCATGTGATGGCTCATCGCAGTCTTGGTTGTCACAGGAACTGCGTTTTGTTGTTTTGTAATGGTTTTGAAGGCATATATATAAAACTATTGTTGGCATTTTTTCAGTCAAAGTACTATATGCTCAATGGGGTATTCCAACCAAAGTCTAATTTTGTATTCAAAATTCTCCAGACATGTATCCGGGAAATAGTTTGCTGAAACGCATTATGTTGTTGCACCCACGTAGGAGCTTGTTCATCACGGTACATTTTGGTATCCCTCCCCCAATCCAACCATAATTTCCAGTTATTTTCAAAATATGGGAAATGTCTTGCAATCTAATTTCTTGTCAAATCCGCTCTCCATTCAACCCTAGTTTCTCGAAACTCCGATGCTGTGAGGCCAACATGAATTTTTTTCTCGATATTGTGTTGCAATAGTTTTTTGCCCTTGTCAAATAAAACTAGAGCTTGTCACTTGTGTTATGGGTGGTTGTTGGGTGCTTGGCCAGGTCATCCGCCAAAATCAAATCTTCCTGTAAAGATTTGTCTCTTGCCTTGTCGTGAGCGTTGCGCAAGGTCGGGGAATTTTTAGTAGAAATAACAGGAGGGTTGAGTGAATCAAGCACAGCAAACGCAACAGCACAAGCGTCGTTCACCATGGCATCGTTTGGCCCTCCCTTGGCTTGAAGTTCCGTTGTCAACTTCCCGTGCATCCAGCAAATCAACGTATTCTTTCCAACCAAAACCCTTTCTTCTGATCTTGCTGGTGAGGAAGCGGCTGAAAGACTCTCTCCTTTCACCTCCTGCCTTGCCGTAGAACTCGTTTTTGTCCCAAAGTTGAATTTTGGGGCGCATGAAAAATGGATACAGCTCCTTTTCCTCAATGTCTCTGAGGAGAAATTCAATGTCTTCATTGGTCAACATCATTTTCCCCTTTCCTTGTGATTTTGCGGCAGTGGCATTTGCAGCCATTGTTGGGTCGTTATTGGCAGTCTCGCTGGTCATGATGTTGCGTGACAAGTTCTTTTATAGGGTTTGGATCTGGAAAAGTACAGGACTGTATCTTTTGGCAAAAGTAGTTGTTTGTCTGCCGGCTCAAATTTCCAGCACCGGTTTTGGAAAAGGGGAAGCTCGGCTTGGTGAGTAAAATCTCACACGTTTGAGTAAAAACTCACACATTTGACTTATAACTCACACGTATGAGTTATAACTCACACGTTTGACTTATAACTCAAGGATTCTCTCACAATGAGTTATAACTCCCAACTTCAGGTCCGTCTATTGGTATGATTTGGAATTCGAAGTTTCTTAATGACCCTCCTGCGACCATCAAATTATCTGTTGTTATTTACAGAATTAGGATCAGAAAAGATGGAAAATAAAGTTGTTCTGTGAAAATGATATTGTTCAAAAACTGAAATATATTTAAGGCGGATCGCCCAATGAAAGACATCAGAATTCCCACAATCAACCCTGGGCGGTACGGAATTGTGTCATTTGCCAGGTGTTCCTGTTAGAATAATGCAAAATGTGCTCTATCGTGAGTGCCTTTAGCACTCAGAACAAACTCTCCGCAATCTAAATTTGTAATCGACTGTACAACACTTTCACGACAATAGTTCTCCTGTGTCTAGGTGTACTTTGAGTGAAATTGTTCCTATTTGATTAAAATTGGCTTGAATTGATGATTCAATCACAAAAGTAAGTTCAACGATTTTCCCTTGAAAAATTCCTTGTTCACAGAACTTGATTCGACCTCTACGACAATTCTGTGTTGGATGCAGTACTTTGGGACATCTTGTATTATTCCCTACTGCATTGTACACAACATTGATATCTCACTTGTATAGGGTCATTCCCTTTTTG